AACCATGAATCGACCCATTTTTTCACTTCTTCGAAATTAGCGAAATGCTGCTCAGCCAATCCGTGCGCCATCGACCGGAACAAGTGATAGTCCGAAGGAGCAATGTCCGGCAAATATGGCGGGTGAGGTAGCACATCCCAATTCAATTCTTTTAAAGTTTCCTTGACAACTTTTGTGGTGTGGGACGGCGCATTGTCATATAGCAAAATCACTTTTCCATGTCTTTAGGCCCATTCCGGACGTTTTCCCTTAAAGAAATATCATACTAAGAATCATTGATAATTACTTATTATCCAGTATTTTTAATACTGAAAATAAGTAATTATCAATGATTCTTAGTATGATATTTCTATAAGGGTTGTGATCAATGCATGGTTTAAATTGATCATTTGTTCTCGGTAGCGAGCAGCATTAATCGTTTCATCAGATTTGAGAAGTTCATAATAAACAACATCCTTTTGATCCCACCAAACACAGAGCATTCCCTTATAGAAATATCATACTAAGAAATACTGACAAATTATTAATGATTAAATATTACCAGTAATTCAGTAATTTTTTGACCAGTACTTAATTTCTGGTGAATACTGATAATAAAATCACTGTTAAATATTGATAGTAATCAAATACTGAGAATTATTATGCAAAGGTGAAAAATGCGAAAATCATAATGTTTACAAAAATATACTTATATTCCTAATTTTCTCATGTCTCATAAACTACTAGATATCGAAGGTTGTTAACACATTCCAAACTTTCATGAATCCTCCTGCGAGGATCATGAAATAATCCGAGGATAATTTCGATCCCAAGCGATATACCGCTGGCCACCCCATCCATATCTTGACCTCATTAAACTGTTGCTTAACCTGACGATCGAGCGCGCACGCGGTGACACTGATGACTCCAACGATGTTCTTACAATTTATGTTTATATAATGTATCCTTATAGTGTTCACAGTATATTATAACATACCTAGCAAAAACAAAATAATAGTTATATAATTTTTACTTGCTATTTATTGGATAATTTGTTGATAGATATTGAAACAATGCAACATTCGATATGCAATGAATATTGATGTAATGTAGTGAACCAGTGATAATTACTTTTACATTTTCAACAAAATGTTATAATAATTAATCCAACAAAATAAAATTAAAAAATCCAAGA